CACTTGTCATTGCCAAAGGTGTTGTTAGATTGATTGTCATCTCATCCCTATTTTTCTTAGGCTATACTCAGACAGACAGTTCATGCCTAACTCATATTCAGTTTAAACAATAATTGCCAAAAAAACAAAGTTATATTTGTATATTATTTCAAATCCAGAATAATATATCTGGATGTAACAATTGGTCTGACTAGTCAAATCAGAGTACATATATACATATATTTTTTTTGTTTCCAGCATTCAGTGCATGGTGCTTTTCTCAGTCAAACATTTGAGACAAGAACAACAACACTGATTAAAACCAGCATGAAGGCAGGCCAGGGGAAGACAAGTGGACCATCTTCTTTTGTTGTTTAAAAATTATTTAATTCTTGTTATCTGTTATCTGAGCTGCGTATGTTAAGAACTATAACCAGTCATTGCCCTTATGTAAAACATAACATCTATAGTGAAATCTGTGTTAGCTGGCTAACAGGCTAACTTTTTCATACTTAACATATTTCATACTTAATATATTCATTAACATATATGAGCAAATAGTCTGAATAAACAAATCACATTTAGTCACTTGTAACTGACAATGCTCACATTCAGTCAAAAAATGGTTTACTAATAAAGATTTTCTTTCTACCTCAAAATCTATTTGTGACATGTACACTCTTTCAGAAGCCTCAGTGCCTCTATCTTTCTTTTCCACCTCTTGCATCTCTTGACTGTTTCTCTGTCACTCTTACATGTATGTATACTTTAGTATTTTCACTAAACACAGAGTAACATAAAGGTTTTCCATTCTTCTCTCCTTTCTGTAGGTGAGTGTTTGTGTATTGTGCACTGCATAAGTATTCACTCACCTTGAACTTTTCCACATTTTGTAGTGTTACAACGTGGACCTGAAATGGACTTAATTGGGAATATATGTTATGAAGCTACACAAAAATGTTCATAATACTGAAGTAAGGGAACAATCAATTACTTACAATTAAAAAACATAAAAATGTTTTGTTTGCATAATTGTTTACCTTCATTGCTGTGAACCCCTTAAATTACTGATGCAACCAGGTGCCATCAGTAGTCACATAATTATTTGAATGGAGTCCACCTATGTGCAATTAAACACCTGTTCCAGGAAGGCTTCAGAGTTTGTTGGATTATACCTAAGCAAACAGCATCATGAACACCAAGGAGCTATCAAAACAAGTCTGGGACCAAGTTCTGGAAAAGTATTTTTTAGGGTTTGGTTATGAAAATGTCCCAAAATTTGAACATCCAATGGAGTACTGTTAAATCCATTATTAAAAATGGAAAGAATATGGCACAACTGCGAATCTGCATAGAGGTGGCTGTCCACCAAAAGTCAGAGACTGGGTAGAGAGAGGATTAGTCATAGAAGAAACCAAGAGGCCAAGGGTAACTCTTAACATGATGCTATAATGACATACAGTCCACTTCAGTTGTAACACTACAAAATATTGAAAAATATAAGGGGTTGAGTGTTTGTGTATTTTGCCTTGAATGTCTGCACTCTCCTCTCTGCAGGTCAGTGTTCACGTGTTTGTGCATATGTGTTTTGACTGGAGCTCTGTACTCTCTCCCCTCCCCACAGGTGTGCCAGTGCCCATGATGGAGCTGAAAGACAGCTGTGCCAGCGAGGGCAGCCATGAAACAGAAAGCGCTGGCACAGGCAACCTGTCAGGCCCTTTGTCCTGGCACTTGTTTGCCCAGCGCAGCACGCTACATGGCCTGCGTTACGTTTTCCCACACCGTCGCTCCTCAGCACTGCGACGTCTGCTCTGGAGCGCAGCTCTACTGGCCTGTCTTGGTTTGTTGGCACTGGAGGCTGCGGAGCGTGTAGCCCACTTCCTGTCATATCCACATGTGGCTAGCGTGGGTGCAGTGCCTGCAACGAGCCTTGTGTTCCCTGCTGTCACAGTGTGCAACCTGAATGCCTACCGCTTCACACGGCTCACGCGTAATGACCTGTACCATGCAGGAGAATTGCTGGCGCTGCTTGACGTGCATCTGCATGTGCCTGAGCCACAGCTGGCTGAGCCCCACGTGCTTGACTTTCTCGCAGAGCGTGCCAATTTCAGTGGCTTCCGGCCCAAACCGTTTAGCATGCGCGAGTTCACTGAGCGCGTCGGCCATGACCTACACGAGATGATGCTTTACTGCCGCTATGAGGGTCAGGAGTGCAGCCATCGGGACTTCAAAACCGTGAGTCTCCTGTTTTTTATATATATATATATATTTCATGGCTTTGGAGAGACAGGAAAAGCCAGACTGATTGTTCCTGAGAACTACAGTATGGTTGGATGTATAGCTGGCAACTCATAACTTTATGTGGGTTGGGTGTTGGCCACTTAGGGGATCATTTAAAATGTATAGTTAACCCTTGGATGGATTTGAAATGGATTATCTAACATCTTTAGCCTTGTTAGGTGTTCTCACTTACTATGAATAAAAATATGCAATTACTTTAGGAGGACAGGTTCAAAACACATTCTTAGAAATGCATATTAGGAGCTTTTTTCTGTAGACACAAACCTGTCTGGCGTGATAATAGTGATACTATGCTAATCCTAAAACAGCAGCTGTCTCTGATGAAGCAGTCCCAATTACCACCATAATGACACACTGTTTATTTAAAGATTTGACCATTAAATTGGAATGAGTGGTATAGATAGTGATGAAATGGGTGAATGTGGGTGCTGCTGCTCATTTGGAGTTCTCTGCTCTAATTTTCCTCCTCTATTTCCAGTCATTCTCTCTTGTTAAGTCTTGGATTTCTCCCATGCTTATGCCCAAAGGGAATACATAGAATCTTGTATACATAGAATCCTGAATCCTGTATCCTGTATACGTAAAATACAGAGTTAAGTACAAAGACATTAGGCTGGCTATGTATATATAAACTTCTATTACTTTCTGTGTTGGGTTTTTTTTTTGTAGATGGTTACTAATTACTTTAAATGTTTCAGCTTGTAAAAAAAAAAAGAAAGAAAAAAGACAAAATTGCACTCTCCGGTCCTGTTTTTAGACCTTTTTTCTACTCTGTGCGTCATGTCTCATCAGATGTAGCGAGAGGGAGATGTGAAATGACTGTGTGCTGTCTGCTTTGAAGATTCCCCTTTAGAGATAAATGTGTGTGTGTGTGTGTGTCTGTGCTCCCTTGGGGAGTCTGGCTGGCTGTGTGTGTGTGTTCTGCTGTGACCCACTTCCACACACAAAACTCATGCACACACACTGCACTTGCAGACCTTGAGGATGCTAATTTTTGTGGGTGGAAAAGTAGTAAAGGGAAAATTTATTGTGACACACCTCAGTTACAGGGGATGTTCTTATAAATCAACACATTTAGGCTACGTTGACCTTTGTTGTTTTGTTGATTCGTTGACCCTGATTAAGTACTGCCCAGTGGAGTAAACATTCAGCTGATCTCTTTTAAGAAATGGCTGTCATCGAGAGTGTTTACCTTTTGAGGCGAAAACTGGCAATATAGCTCATATATCAAAATGTAGTCATAGTTAAGAATGAAGATTAATTACTGGTTAATGTGCCAGATTAGCATATTCCGGTATATCAGGCTGTTATTCTAGTAGTAGCAAGTTTTAAGAGGCCTTGGAGGCAAGGAAAGAGGTGTAAATGAACTCTATATCACTGTTTTTGAACCATTCTAGGAACTCTAGAGGGGCTTTTTTCCTGTGACACAGAGCCCGGAGAGACCTGGACTGTTTTCACTTTTTTTTTTTTCATTTTCACAGCAAATTATCATCCACTGTAATCATGATGTCTGTCCACCTGCCTCGAAAACAATCAGATGGTTAAAATAAATTGGAGATGGTATCTCTCCCGTGATGCTGTCCACACGTGGAAAAACAAATCACTTTAATATGATTACACCTCTTATTTTTTCTGCTGTAGCAAGAACAATGGCAAAACGAATCAGTGGCCAACCTCACAAACTACATTCAAGGAGTGTCAAAATTGTCTAAACAATGAAATTTTAGACAATAGATAAAGCACCAGGGCTTTTTAATTTTTTTTTTGATAAAATATACGCATTTCACATTTAGGGATAAATAAATATGCATCTTACTTTAAAATAAATGTTTATACAGTTTACATTTATATTGACAAGCACCAATGTAGTTTTAATGAATTTAAATTTTTTTTATTGTAGATATGCAAGTACATAGAATGACCAAAACATAATAATTGACATACATTTTAATTATAAGTCTCTTAGTACTAATATACAGAAGTCTTTAAAAAACATATTAAAAATAAGTTCTTTGTTAATTACAAACACTTAATATATGAGCAGTATGTTGAACCAACATGTTGAACCCATGTGTGACAGTGTGCTGACTCTGTGGTTCTAGGTAGTAATTACTGTGTTTTGCTCATGGCAATGGAGTCCTCCCTGAGTAAAGTGTAGTTTAGTTTTAAATATTGCTACTGCTGCAGTGGTAGTAAGGACTAGACACAGGGGTCTAACACAGGGGTGTCAAACTCACTTCAGTTAACACACTTAGTCCAATAACACATCTTACCACCTCTTAAATGTGCTCATTTATTAACATTTATCTGAAAAGTACATTCTGAATGCACAAATGGATTGAACATCACCTACAGCATTACATCACCTACAAAACAGATGAACACACTGCAATTCATTAACCAAAAAATAAATAAATAAATAAATATCTCCTATAATATTGAAGTGGTCTAATTTTATTTTTTATTTTACCATTTAAAAAATGTAAACATTGATTGGATAAGTGTTCACCCCTTTTGCTGTGCTTTTAAAGTCTTAAAAGTGATTATTTTAGAAAGAGACATGCTTACATTATCAAAGTTTTAGCTTGTTAATGAAGAAATACATCATTAGCACATTTTGTCAGTAGCTGAGTTATGGCCTGAGCTGAGTTATTTATTGCTCTATTTTTCCCCTAGTGGAATAATAGGCTAGCTCCTTTTTTAAAATTCAGTTCAATTAGGGTAGTGATGGCTCAGTGGTTAAGGCATTGGATTACTAATCAGACACCCGTGAGTTCAAATCCCAGCACCACTGTGGGGCTGTTGAGCAAGGCAACCTTAACCTTCAACTGTATCCTGTGTTGGGGTGAGGTACTTTGGATGAAAGTGTCAGCCAAATAATGTAAATTGTGGTCCACATGCAGCACTGGTTCTAGCTGTGTGTTTGACACCCATGGTCTAACAGAGTTATTTTGATGTTGTGTAGATTGTACAGTGTAGAATGTTTTCTAGCTTGTATAGCACACAAGGCAAATAAACCGGCTTTGTTTGTGTCCTTTCTCTCATTTGACTGCACATCTTTTCAGGTCAAAGAAAGGTTTGGTTTTCATTTGGTACAGAGAATCCTTGATACATAGAAAAAATTGTTTAGTATGTCCCATCAGTCACTGTCTCTGGCTTTAGCTGAAAATCTGGGCAGTTATTTCAAGGCAAGGCTTTTAGACTTCCCATAAGACTTCTGACTTTAGCTTTAAGCACCTTTTAATCAAGTTTTAAAAACTTCTTAGCTTGTATGGTATAATTTATGCTGGTAACAGACCTTGGTCTGAACTATGCATTAGGCTTTCACTGATTCACAAGATTCACCAATCTTCAGATTGCTAATGTCAAAATAAGATAAATTCGTTATTTTAAAAAAGAAAATACCAAGAAAGAATAATCTGGTGTAATAACATTACTTGATTGTAAAAATTTGCTCAAAGGCTTTGACTCTTTCTTGTGTGTCTCTTCTAAAGCAATGTCATAATGCGTTAAATACTTTTTTTAAAGTTTAGCGAGTCAACATTATCCTGATAATTTCTTCTCCTGGAAGAAGGACAGTCTGTTTATACCTATCTTCTGTGACAAGGGACCAAAACAACATTTTTCATTTCTTGGATTGTTTTGAGCATTGCTAAGAGATTAAGAATGTGTGTGTGGAAGATAAATGAGTGCAGTATAGCAGTACAAGACCTCAATAATGATATTTTAAATAAATAATAATATGTTTGTGGGCTTCAATGCCTCTGACATGAGTAAAAAAGTGGATAAGACAGAAAAGTTGGAAATGTGTTCATTCATGTGCATGCATATGTTTGAGTGAGTACTGTGTGTACTTGAGTCTGTGTATTCTTGAACTTGATGACAACTAATGGTCCTAGAAATAGTCCTTTTAGGAAAAGGAATAATTATCTCCAACAGTGACAAGTTCATAAAGAGTAGCACTGAGCACTAAAGCATGTGTGGAAGTGTGTGGGCCCAGGAGAGCAGTAAAAATAGCATCATGGGAAGAGGTGTGTGAAATCACTGTGAGATAATGCAGGAGAAAGGATATGTGTGTATATGGTAACGTAGAGGCTAGATATGTGTGTAAAAGCATGATCACATAGAGTAGATGAGTACCAGAAGGACAGGACTGGGAATCTGTATGTTTGTGTGTTTTTCCAGTTCTAACACACCTGAATTAGTTTATAAAGTGTTTAGCAATTAGCTAATGAGCTGGGTCAGGTGTGTTACATTAGTGAAAACACTAAACCATGCAGAGCTTGGGCTTCCCAGGACAGTGGAGTATATCATCAGCTGCATTCGGATCTTCGCACAAGCTTGATATATTTATTATACTACAAATGTGCTTTCAGGATTCATATGGCAGCTTGCTTGTGGTGGCAAAAGTTAGTGTTATGCAGAGTGAGCATGTGTATGAGTGTGGGTGCGTGATAGGGTTTATTTTAGGATGTGACTGAGCCTTGATGAGCACTCTAACAACCAACATCAATGTGTCAAATTGCATTGAAATCAAAGTCAATGCCTTGTTTCACCCTGAATGTCTTGCGTTTCTCACCGCGCCATCTCCATTAAACCAAATAACATCTGTCACTCAAAAACAATCTTCTTAAATGTGATTCATTATTTTCAACAGTCAGGCTGTTTTGTTGATGTATTTGAAGGTTAACTGTACTCAATGACTGATAGTTTTTATATCGAAACCACTATTTGAAAGAGTGCAGTTTATAAATCACAAGAGCCTTGATTAAAACTTTGATGTAGCAACATTTTTTTGTTATTTTTCCCCATTTTCTCTCCAATTTGGTCATGAGCTCTCAGACACCCAAGATTGGTTTGTGTTGTTTTGACTGACATGGGAGAGAGCGTATGCTATCCCTCACACCCAGACAGCACAGCCAGTTTTGCTCTCTTGGCTCCCAAGGTGGCTGTGGCATTGTTGGGATTTGAACCCATGATCTCTTGACGATATGGCAAGCGCTTTCTGTTGCTTGTCGATAAGAACATCTGAATGTTGAACCGCACTTGTCTACATATGGCTGGGAAAAAACAGAGCCTAGGACTGCACGAATACAGGACCTGGTCAGCTGTTTCAGTAACTTCAAGGCAGAGAAAATGCCTGAAGCCATGTACAGTTGTATTTTGCTCAGTTTCTATTTTAAGATAATTTTATTGCATTTTAAGCATTTTCACCAATTGAAAAGATATAAGAACATGCTCTTTTGTCCTGTGTTTCTAGTATTTCCTGAATTCTCTCAGAAATATGGACAAGAAGTACTTATAAGGTTCAAAATTATGGCTGTTTAAATAAGGGGAAGCTCCAGTGTTGTTGCCCAGAACTTTATAAACATTTATGTAACGTAAAGTGAACCTAGTCGTAGCTGCTGCCATGAAATTGACAATTGTCTTAAAATATTAATTTTGTTTGGCCACTTGTTCTGTTTGCACTGAAAATTAATATATTGTTTTTCTCCTGTGGTCTAGTTTTGTTGAATTCTGTCAGAAACAGGGACAAGGACTAGTCATAATGTTCAACATATGGATGTTTAAACGGTAGGCCTATTCAATCTATGGATTACGGGGGAGGACAAATGATAAATTCATTAGCTAGCCATCTGGGCAAGTAAAAGTTCTAATGTTCTTGCAGAGTCCCTGCTTTTCCCCTGGGAACATAACTGGCTAAGCCAAAATGGTGTAGAAAATGTAATTTAGGTGAACCAACTGAATTCCTGGGTGGAGAACTAACCTGTGTAGCAATATCATTATACTCTCCCAACAAAGTTCCTAATGTACTATGTTTAATGCATTGTGTTTGTGCCCTTGACAAAAAGTCAGCAGGTTGTTGGTCAAAGTTTCAGCTACAAGCTGAGGTGTTCTCTCCTCACATCACATGTAAAATGATATATTGGATATTTTAAAGTCAGAATGCTGTCTCAAAAAATGTTTATTGGACAGGTGACTGTAATTTATAGCAGGAGAGTTATATGGCAGCTTTATACTGCATTTTATTTTGCTTGGTTTTGTCAGTGTTTTTACCTGCAAGGCCCTGATTCTGAAAAGATCGTCTGCATGCTCATTAATACACACACATAGTAAAAATCATACAAACGACAACCAGATCACACCTCAGTGTAGTGCAGCAGGTGGCAAGATTCGGGAATGCATTATAGTTATAGCATTGAGGCGCATCAAACTGCCACAAAGTGCATTATGCTTACAAAATGCATATCAAATAAAAAAAAAAATTTTATTTCAAGAAAGTCAGCAGGAAATATGTTCCTTTTCTTTCTCTGGTTCTTGAAACTGTGGGCATCTACCATAAAATAGCCTGGACATGAAATTCTGATAACTTTTCCCTGTTGTGCTTAGTGCCTGAAGTGCCTTACACTAACTGGTAGCTCTTCAGACCTCATCTGAGGTCATAGCCACTGCGCTTTTGGGGTAAAAGCATCAGCTCAGATTAGCTGTGACATGTTCTGTCTCACAGCGCTCAAATGGTCTTAATACCAAATACAACATTCTTGCAGCTATTTAGTCAGAACTTCTGGATAATAAACAGATTGCTGCTGGCTGCCATGAAATTGAGTTTTGTTTTAAAGTATCATTTTGGTTTTGCTGGTGGTTTTGCCACTTGTTCTACATGTAATGAAAATCAATATATTGTTTTTTCCCCTCTGTGATTCTAGTTTTGTGATGTCTATGATTATCTGCATATACAGGGAGAAAAGATTGAATGTTCCTGCAATGACAGGCAGAGCGGGAGTAGTGTTTACAGCCAGCAAAGTGGGATCCATGATGTGTAGCCAGGGCATGATTGCAGTGAAGATCACTACCATCAAAATTATTATTAGTCATTAAAGTTATAAGCATAATTGGCTGGTAGAACCGAATAGGTCTAGGCAGATATACTCATGTGTTTCAGACTGAAATTCTCTTTTTACTTTTAGTGTAATGTTGTAGGTATGTCGTGGCATTTGGATGTTCTTTGCATTATCAGAATATGTCGGCCCCCATGACATTTCAGATTTTGTACAGCACTGTATCTCGAGACTATGACCTTTCTCAGATCTTTATTATTTCTCCTGCTAGTGTTTCTTTTTCTGTAGCGAAGGCTCTCTGTGGACCAGCTTTTTAATGCTGCCTGCTGTTGCCTTTCCTGTTCCTTCTTCACCCCTTCTTTGATTTTCACTTTCACACACATGCACACACCTCAATGCTGATACAGTAGACTATGCTTTCTATCTGTTGACAGCAAGTAGATCGCAGTGGACAGTTCCCTCTCCACTAATATGGTTGTGTGTGTGCGTCTGTGTGTGTGTGTTTTGTTGTCATGTATTTTTGGGAATTAAAACCATAGTATAACCTTTGTTGAGTGCTGAGTACTTAGTAGTGCTGTTGTGAAAGTATTGAGTGTCTTAATAATTTCAACCAATGTTAATAGCAATCCATTAAATAGCTAGTACTGGATCATCTAACTATCTATCTATCTATCTATCTATCTGTCTACATACAGTTGTGTAAACCTTCTTAATGACATTTCGGGCAGTGGAAATTGCAAGCTTTTATCACTTTCCTCTACCTAGTAGGCATCAGCTGTGTTCCATATCTGCACTACTACATTTAATTTAACTTATTGTATTTTATATTTTATATTTTGTATGTGTACGTGTTGTATCTTGCTACTGACTATGCTGCTGTAACACAAGAATTTCCCTCATGGGATCAATAAAGTATATCTATCTATCTATCTATCTATCTATCTATCTATCAGTT